CTTGTCTAAGGGATCCAGGACCAAGTGAGTCCCTTGCTGCATGATCCCAGCAACAGCAGCAATGTCCACTTTTCTATCAGCATGTGGTTTCCTGTGCCAGAGCAGCTAGTCTTTTCCACGCAGACTGTGTATGTACATGTGTGGATGGAGGCAGGTGATCACGTCACATAGAGGTATATAGGCTGTGACACTGGCCCGTGAGAGAAAACCTCGTATGGGGAGCTAGTGCTTGCAGTGCACTGTGGTTTACTGTATAGAAAAGAGCAGGTGGAGCTTTTTAATGTTTAGACCACCTAATCCTAACCTTTGCTTCATGTTTTCACACTGGTATGTGATCTGTCTGCATGCAGTTGATTATCAGATTTGCTATGCCTCATTCAGCTCTAAGACGGATTGGCTTCCAGAAGTGAAATAGAAAAATATAGCTTCTCCCTTTGGACATGTTAAGGTTTAGTGAGGTGAAGTCACATCCGTGATTGCTTGTGGCTGGGGGAAATACCTAAATGGCACATGGGAGGAAGGTCCAGGAAGTGGCGGAAGATAATATCTCTAAGTGCCTTACACTCCCACCAGGATGTGCCCAGCCAGGTTACACAGGAGATGAAAGATTTTCACTAGATATGGAGCATAACAACATTTGAATGGCATTGGATATAGACACCTAATTCACACCCACCCAAGCATCTTGTGCTTGCTGGGAGCTTTAGGAGCCTAGAGCTGACCCAGTTCCAGTGGGAGGACCTTGTCACCATCTCATTCAGCGCTTGGGCTGGGAGATGTGATTTTGGAGAAACTGGGAGGAGTGGTACTCATACTCCAGCAGCTGCAAAGCAGAGAATATACAACCTGAGAAAAGCATTTAGGAAAATGTGCAACTCCAAAACAAGCCATCAGTTGAAAGTTTTCCACAGAAGACATTTAAAACAAATGGATAAGGAGCAGGACTTCTACAGGTTTTTATCTTAATGCAGATGAAATAAAGAGCTAATAGTGAGAGAGTGCATTTTAACATTTACCTGTTCATTTCTGTGTCTCAGTTCCTGACCAGAAAGCCAGATGGCCTGGAGAGGCTGGTAGATGAGATACAGAGACTTTTATCTTTAAATAAGCTGAACTCCTGCTTTGTTTGCAAGCGGACAAATTCAGTTAGTTACCACCCCAAAACCTACAGCTGTCTTTTTCAATAAGAATAGGTGGTCCCTGCCCATGTTACTAAACCAGAGATCACCGTTCAGCTGTCAGGGGATTGTTCTGATTTGTGCAGTGCACAGAGATGATAAAGAAGCTGGTATGGGAAAGCAGAATAAAATCTAAGTAACAAGAGACAGAATTAATTCCACTACTCAGTAACATCACACCACGTGTGCTTCACTTAAGTAGTGCTACTGGCCTAGAAAAATAATTTTAAAGTTACTCCTGGGATCAGAGTAGACTACTTTATACTGAGATGGCTACACTGCACATGGATGGACAGCTTAGAAGTCTGCAGCCACTTGACAGCTCTTAATATATGTTAATAAAGGCATTTATCAAGATTCACGTTGAGGACTGTGCTTCAAGAGAAGCCAAGTTGTTCCGTGAGTGGGAGAAGTAACAGGTTTCACTTCTAACGGCTCTGTCATCTGCAGATTCTCTGAGATCTAGTACTGGGTGCATTAATCAGCCTTTCCATCACTCAGGACATTACAAGGTCTCTCTCCTGTACCCAGTCCCTGTCTCATGAAGCTTCAGGGAACCTCATCTCTCTGTCTTCTGTCAAGGTGGTTGAAATTGGCCAAGCAGTCCAACATTTATGGAAGAAGGAGGAAGGAAAAGATGAAGACAGGATGGGATAGGCAGCTTGATGCTCCCTAACCTTCTTTTCCTGAAGAAACAGCCGAAAAGCAGTGGGATTTAAAGCTGGACAATGCACTTAACATTTTAGGTGTTTATCTTGCAGTGGTCTTTGTTGTTTATGCTGTGATGCACATAATAATACTGGTAAAAAAACCCAATGCAAACCCTGCTGATTTTAAGTTGTATAAAGTCCTGTCTTCCACTACAGGAAATTATTTTAGACGCTAGGCTGGTACCAGCACCTGTGGCAGGAAAAATGGGTGAGAACCTATTTCAGAGGCAGATGTGTATGTGAATGGCAAAGCTGTAAGTTCAGATGCAGGGTACTGAGGGAGGTGTACATCTAGGCTTCCCAACTAGTAAGGCAGATTTGCTTTGGTCTGTGGACTGATGACACATTTGATTGATGTCCTCCCTTGGTTCCCTCTTTGCAGCATCACCCTCTGAAGGTGGTTAGCTCTGTGGTTATAATTTTGGCTAGATCTGAGAGGAGGGGCCAGGTAGGGCAAGGCTGTTTATCTGACAAAGCCTGGAAATAAGGAAGATGAACTCTTGCACTCAGCTTCTCAAACCATCTGTGCCCCAGGGCACAGCCTTTGCCTGTGATCAGGCCCACATGCAGAGTGGCTGCTGAGTCAGGGCCAGAAAATCTCCTGGTATGAGCTGTCAGCTGTGTGAAATTGGCCTTTAACATAGCAGAAGGAGGTCAGGGTCTGCTGCCAGCTTTTGGCCAAATAAGGGGACTGTAAACAAGATACAAGCCCCAGAGATGCAGTAACACATGGAGATGAATGAAAAGCTCTGTAATCCAGTGGCAGTTATTGGTGGCCTGTTATGGTGGTTTATCTGTGTATTATCTGTGGGCTGCATCCCCCTTTGCAGCCTCTCTGTTGTTCCCTGTGGGCTTTTGGGTGCTCATGCAAAAGTGCAGCAATCCTTCCCTAATTCCGCAGAAGGACTTGACCCTTTAAATCACATTATTCCAGCCAGGCTGTCATTTTGCATTCCTTAGCAGACAATATATGATGTTACAGAGTAAAAAAAAAAAAAAAAAAAACCCAAACAAAAACCAAACAAAACCCCAGCAAAAAAAAAAAAAACAATACCCAGTATTACTGAAGCCAGACATTTTCTAAAGGAGTATTTTTTGTTAGTGCCTGGCAGGCAGCAGATGGGTACTCTGCCTGAAGTCAGAGCTGGGCTGGGGACAGTGTGGGATTTGAATGCCAGAGGGAGCAACACTGGGCATAGATCCATGCCAGGAGCTTGTTTACATTTGGCTGCTAAGCCTGAGTCAGTGCTTCTCAGGGTGTGTTTTTCATCTTCTAACCTACTTGATTCACTTGTCACTTAAAACGTATTTCATGACAATTTTTGTTAGATTTAACACAGTGAGGGCAGGAAGGATAAAAAGAGAATATGGAAAGTACAACTGGTTCTGTTAGTAGGTAAAATATTTTTGGTGCAAACAGAGCAGGTTTTGTTCATTTTAACTCAACCAAACTTAATCTAAGGACTCCAGCTTCTCCAGCATTATCAGGGGCAACATGGGGGCCTCACAGGCAGGAGCTGGCTGGGCTGAGCGGTGTATTACACAGGATGGAGGGATCTTGCTTGGAGAGGCTGCTGGTTTCTCCTGGTTTCTCTGGCTGTACTGCTTGATTACGGATCCTAATAGCAACTTCTCCTCTTACAGACTTCCTCTCCCAGGAGGGAGTTAGGGTTTCCGTCGTGTGCAAAACAAAGCCGAACTGTTCAATAGTCGCATTGTTCTGCTTGCACTCAGCTAAAGGGCAATTCCTGGCTGAGGAAAACTGGGGTAGATAATCCCATAGGAAAGATTTACCTTTGGCAGCTTCCACTTCAGCATTGTTGCTGTGGGAGTTGTGACTATTTCAAACCACGGAATTAACTGCAGGTTGAACCTGGGAGACAAACCTCACATTTTAATTCTGCTTTGCTGTGGTGTGCAACAGTACATCAGAAACTAAAATGACAATAGCTTCAGAAGTTATATTTCTGGCTTTTACAAAATGTTTCACCTCAGGCACTGACGCAGATATGGATGCTCAATCTAGTACGTGGTTTTGTGCTCCAGTGCTGTGTGGAATCCGAGTACATCAGAGTCTTTGGTAGGATGCCTGAAGATTTCTTCTCTCCCCCTCCAGTATCTAGTATCTGAGCTAAAGAAGTGTGGTACTGTTATCTGGGAACAAAAGCAGGCTGTTCTGAGAAGTGAAAGCAGTGCTTGTGTTTTGCAAATTTCTACAAGAAATGTAAAAGATTTCCATACTAAAGTGCACAAACCAGGAGAGTAAAATGAAAGGAAAAAAACACAGGCGTGTTTTCATAATGAAAGTTTATAACTTTCACATAGACATGTATGATGCTTAGAAATCTGTAACTTTTTATGGAGAAGGTTGGAAAGCACCCACTGGAGTTTGCTGCACAATTATTATATGCTTTGTCATGCCAATAACCTGAATTGTCATTGCACATGTAATTAACAGAGTGAAAGTCCTATTGTGCAGATAATTGGAATGTATGTTAAATAGGAAAAGAGCCTTGTTTAGGCTAAGATGCTGCTTTGTGAAGCTCTTCAATCTCCTATTCATTCATTACAAAAAGGCTGGAAGCACAGATAGTACAAAAAGGAATTGTAGGAGAACATGAATGGTTCTTACTCTTTACTGACAACACTCAATTTACTTTGCTCTTTCATTAAAAAAAAAACATGTTAAAGCATGGTATAAAGTGCTAATATTTTCCATATGTTTTTATGCTTTTTGGAGTATTTTAAAACTTTCAAGTTCCAAAACAAAGATCCTATTTTTCTTTATCTTTTTTTCCCTTTAGCCTTAATGAAGACCTGCATTTCTGTAGCCTCCTTATAAGATTTAACTCTGTCATCCTTATTCAAACCATGTTGATAACTATTGCTGCAACTTTCTAATTATGCCATCATAAATTAATAGTTTACTGATAGAGTGGCCACATGTTTTACTCACCATAGAATATATCTCAGAAAATCTTCCTGAAAATTCTGCTTGTGGCCGTAAGTATTTTATAGAAGATGAAGTTTACTTTGTTCATGGACTACCTTTGCTCAAAGTGCAATGTAGACCAAGTTGTTGCTTCGGTGGTTTTAATAATTGATATTGTTGGGTGAAACTAAGAGAAACTCTTAGTTGGGAGAAAATCCACAGGGTTCTCCTGATTAAAGCATCCAGTATATTAGCTGACTTCTATAAAGCATTATGTCACTTTAAACAGTTTATACGCTATTAGAGAGTGATAAACACATCCCTGTGTTTAACTTGGTATTCCTGGAAGGCCTTTGCAAGTTGCAAAATGTCCTGTTACTGGGAACTTTTGTACCTTAGTTAAGACAAAGCATGGTTAGTTGCTGACTTCCACATACAAAGACAAGAAAACTGCAAGAAAGGAAATTTCAGTTTAAGGAGCTGGTAAAAAAAATCAGACTCTGGAGTAGGAAAGCAGGCTGCTGGAGAGCAGCAGGAGGTAGGCCAAGCTTCAGGGGGAAGAAAGAAAGGCGCAAGTCATTTCAGAAGCAGGAATGTGGCCGCTGTGTCATAAAGACTGATTCTGAGGCTCTTCAAGCCCAGGGCCATAGTGCTGCAAATTTGGTCCAGTGTCAGGGTTGTGTAGTCCTGCCCAGAAATGCTGTCAGCTTCTCAGCCCCTCCAACAGCCACTTGCTGTCCTCTGCTTCTTCAAGGTGGGGGTCCCCAGGCAGGCATCTGCTTTATCTCTTGCAGCATCAATCCCCAATCCTGTGTTCTCAGTAGATGGGGATGGGTGGCAGTGCTGCTTTGAGAGACAGCATCCTTAACCCTTTCCTTTGCTGTGAGCTGCACACTCCAGTTGAGGCAGATAGAGGCAATGGACATATGAAAATGTTGACTTTGGAAAGAGAAGAAGCAATAAGAAAGGAGAGCAGTAAGAACTGCAAGGGCAAAGAACCCCAGGAGTCCTTTATTCAGTTGGACGATGTTCTCCATTAGTTTCATATTTGGTTTTAGTCTAAGAAGGGCTTTGTATGTTAATTACAAACTGGAAATTAAATCATATTTCATGCATGTGTGAAACAATATGTATTTTATTTTAAAGAAAGTAGAGTTCTAGCTTGTATAAGCTGTCTGATGCCACACAAAGCAATCCAGAAATTGATCATTACTTGCAGTAATGCCTGTTGTTAACCCCAGCTCTTTTTAAAATACTGATGGGGAAGCTCACTTTCCTGTCTTTCGAAGCAAAGCAATAGGGAGCAGATCAGCAAATGAAGCTTTTACAAAACCAGACTGTTTTTTTACCAAAGCACCAAACAGAAATCTAGCATCCTCCTGCAAAGGTTAGAAGAAAGAGAAACAGGCTGTTTCTCAGATCCTCTTGTACCTGCTAGTGGCAGATTGTTTTGCCCTTCAAGAGCAGATAATTAAGCACCACTAACATGGGGGCTGTTCAGTACTCCTGACCAGGTGTGGGAGATGCTTTATTAAGCAAGATACACAAATGCATCCTCCTCAGAAGCTCAAAGTAGTTTAGCAGGTAAGAGAGGCCTTGGAAAGACATTCATTTGCTAATGATTTCCTCATCTGATAAAATTCCGTACCAGTCGCATGGCTTTGTTTGTTCAGTGGTAGAATATTAGCTAAACTACAGATAGCAAAGAGTGACTGTCTAGACCAGGAACCCGTGGTCCAAACTCTTGTTCCCATTGAAACTTCCCTCTCTCCCCAGCCAGCCAAGGAAAATTCTGGTGACAGTTTCACCCCACTGTCGCTTTGGCTAGCATGAAGGGAAGAAACCATGGGAAAGTCTGAGCTGCTCTGAGATGGTGAGACTGCTGGTGCACTCTGGAAGAGGGGTGGCCTGAGAGGCCCTTAATTACAGAACAAATGTGCAAATATTTCATAGCATGTGCTATAGGAATTTGAATTGCACAATTATCAACATGGCATGGGATGAAGAACAGTTGTCTCTTACCTGACCTGGTTCATTTTCCACTGACTTGAAGGGTTATGCCCTGTTCTTCTGCTTCCCTTACTCCCAGTTTCTTAACAGAGAAAACAGCTATCATTCAATTTAGTTTTAAGTACATGAAGGATGGATGAAAGGAGAGGACTCAATACTCCAGACCACAGATTTTTTTCTCTTATTACTTATTTGTAGGTGATTATTAACCCTTTACATTTAAGGGCTTTTCTGTCACATGGACACTTTGCATTCATTAACAGTGTTTGCGGCTGCCTTTAGCTTTTTCATTCTGTGACTGGCAGCCTTTCTGCTACTTTCTCATATGAATGATCTGAAACACCTTGGATGACCTAAAACCAAAACAAACCAAAAAAGCCCCTGTAAAACCCTCCTTTGGTTCTCTTCTGTGCCTTTTCTTCTCTCTTAAAACCGTGCTATTAAGAGCTGAGTTAGAAATAAAGGAATCAGAGGGGCTTACTAACACCCAGCTGTTCCTGTTAACCTCACAGAAAATTGTACCAGCCTTTGGACTCCTTCTGAGGAGAGGGAAGGAGAGGGGTACCCCTTTTCTCTGTATTTTGGCTCTGCTTTTTTTATTTACCACAGATTTACTGCCACTGCTTGGCTTATTCCAGTTGTGGATTCCTGGCTGCATATACTAATCACCCTTGACTTTCAATTGATGATACTGACACATACCATAGGTTATGCGGAGCATTTTGGGCTCAATTCCAGATGGGGTAGTAGCAGGAAATCTTTCATTCAGAGTCCATCAAATGCAGGATCTACACCTCTTGGGCCTCAGGACAACCACATCTCTTCAGAGGCCTGGGCTCTCCTGATGAGCTGCAGTTACAGCGTTCACATCTTGAGCTGCTGGAGAGGTGACCGACCAGTTCTCACTGCAGACTGTCATTTCCCCTGCCTGAAATAAGTACCAAATGAATCATGCATCTAAAATTTCCTTTCTTGCAGATTTTTCTTTCATATTGTTGCTGCTCTCAGAAGTATGATCAGTTCCTGCTCAGGTTCCTCTTTCACCCACGTTTAAACTTGTAATGTCCTTGTCACTCTGAAAACTTTGTTCCATAACTTTTCCACTTTATATTCCAGTAGTTGTTGCCTTCAAGTGTTGTAATTTTGCCCACCAGTGTCCTAATGACGCTCATAATATAATTTTGTTCAGAATAATAATGGTGTTGTGACAGAAGGGAGTGTTCTTCCTATTTCTGATTTTGTTGCTGGCAAGTATAGTGACCTTTTCCTTGGAAGCTTGTCTTTGCATTTCCTCCTCTGTGACAGGTTGGTCTTGATGGTATAAATTGCAAGGAAGTAACTCTAGCGACCTGTCAAAGCTAACCCAATCCAGGCATTCTGCCAGGGCACTGTGCCTTTTCTTACGTAGTGGTTTAACCCCAGCCATCAACTAAGTACCCTGCAGCTTCTCGCCCACTTTCCCCTCTCCGTCCCACCTCGATTGGATGGGGAAGAGAATTGGAACAAAAAAAGTAAAACCTGCAGTTTGAGACAAGAACAGTTTAATGTTTGAAATAAAGCAAAATATAATAACAACAATAAAAATAAACATTAGAAGGGAGATAAAAAGTGAGAGGAATAAACCCCAAGAGAAACAATGCTCACCTCCTGCTGACTGATGCCCAGCCTGTTCCTAAGTGGTGATCAGCAGCTCCCAGCCAATCCCTTCAGTTGATATACTGAGCATGACATTCCATGGTATGGAATATCCCCTCTCCGGGGCTTGTAGTTTCATTCACTCTGAAGACCAACCATGTGTTATGCCCTGCAGCTTCAGTATGAGATGGTATGGCTGATAAAGCCTCCATGCACAAACACATGTTGGATTGCCACTCTGACGAAGGCATGTGCGTTATAGAGCTAGCTGATCTGAGATATAAGTGGCTATTGGCATGTCATTATACAGAAATTACTGCCTCCAGAACCAAGCTTTTGTGTAGATCCCAGCTCTGCTGGTAGCCAGGGGTGACACTTTCCTATCAGCTTTCAGTCAAGTGCCTTGGAATGCTTTACAGAGATTACTCATGCCTCACAGCACCTCCTGAGGCGCTTCATATTACCTATTGCCAGATAAGCGATGACACATGCAGGGAAAATAAATAAAATAGCTGGTGCTATTAGCTGTCCAATTCAGAGCAGGAAAAGTCTGGTTTTCACTGCTGTGCTGACTTTGTTTGATTGGGGCTGCACACCACATCTACAGTGTCCCCAAGCAGAAGCACCACAAATGAGCAGCTGTTTCTGCAAGAGGTAGGGTCTTGCCTTGTTCTACCTAAAGTAATTACTCACTGAACGAAAAGCCCAAAGCCCTTGCTCAGCTCCCAGCCTTCACAAAGCTTATGCACTGTGCCTGATGTGATGTTCTGGTAGGTCCATGTGGGTGCTGAGACATCCATTACAGTTTATTTCTGTAGCAGCAAAGCTAGGGTGATTTCCAGCATGAAAAAGGAAAAACCCATCTCTCTCTCTTAAACTTTAAGGATGACTGCTAAACGAGACTAATATATCTATAACATACATTCTTTTACAGGATTTTTTTTTTTGTTAAGATTTCAGGTGACAGCAATAGATAAGGAAAGGCTCAGATGAGAAAGGTCATGGCCTGAAAGCTTGTCTGAAAATTGGTATGAACAATGAAGTGAGTGCAAATAAGGTTATTCCCACAGTTATGTGGAGAATGATATGTAAACCAAAGCTGGACAACCTTCCTCTCATGATGTTTACAGCAGGATCTGATATTTCCATCTACCTGGGCTCCAGCAGGGTCATTTTACCTTGGTGCCATTTTGTGACTGAGTTAGTGTCTGGAAGGTCTTGTTTAGGGCAGGTTCTGCACACCTGGATGGAGCAGACAACTTGCTTCCTCAGGAAGTGCAACTTCACTTGTGGTCATGACAGAGGCTCCTGTCCTTTCAGCAGCCTCCTTTCCATACCCTAGTGAGTCATCCCTTTCTTCCTAGAGCTGCGCACACATTGCAAGGAGGGTTCAGCAAATGTCTTAAGCAATGTGTTAGACCAGTTTTGCCTCACACAGTACCCTAGAGGCTTGCAGCTTACAACTGAGGTTCCCGGAGATGTCCTGCGTGTGAAGAGGTAGGCTAGATAAGCACAAGTCTAACTGTTTGCAGCCCTATTTCATTTGTAGTGAACAGAAGAAAAGTGTAGCCCAGAGGCAGCCATCAGTTGAACTGCTACCAACTCTGACTTCAACGGTGGTCATTCTGGAAGAAGGCATAAGGCTGTGCAACACAATATTCAGATGAGGATTTGGCAAAGAATCCTTCTTCTCACTGTCACAACTTATCTGTCTCCCAGATGGTAGGATATTTACCTTCTAAAAAAAAAAGATGAGCTGAAGTTTTTTTCTCTGTCTGCTCATTTTGCATTTTTTTTTAGTGGGGAGAAAACCCCAACAAAACACCACAGAAGTTAACACAGTATTTCTAAACCTCTTTGAGTTGTTCAGTCCCTCAGTCCTTTGCACAACTAGGTAATAGTTCCTGCGAACAAGGGGCATGGCTCTAGTTGGTCTGAATACCATAATCACGAATGGACTGGAGCGATCACAACAAATTTAGATGCTCAGGCCTGAGGAAGGCACATGCTTTATAACAATTCAATCACCCATGTGTAGAAAGAAACAGAATTCATTACCCACACAGTTGATTGCACAGCATAAATAGCAAAGGGCAGATGTAAAAAAATGCTGACGTATGTATATCGTTGGTATGGTACTATCAGCATAGAAATGCTTACAAAGTTAGTTTGTTTACAGAGTTAAGGACAAAAGCTTTGGATAATTGCTGCTGCTATTTGCATCAGGCAAATGCAGTCTTAGTCATAAAGGTAAAGCACTGCAGGAGTCATATAGTTTTGGAGGGGGAAGACATGCCTTTCAATTTTTATCGGTCTACTTACTAACAGCAAAGATCCTGATCCCTTATGTATCTCCTGTTTAGCAGTATGCAATCGATATGAATATCTGCAAAAGATACTTAAGAGAGGCAGAAAGTATATAGTAGTAGAATAAGCAGTTTCCAGACAAGGTTTCTGGTTCTATTTTTGTTTGCTTTCCTGTTTTGTCCTCTTTTCTGCACCCTCAGTTGCCTAAGACTTACTCAGAAACAGTAACAAGAAATTGCTCTCTAAACACTTCAAGTGATCATGTAATATTCTGAGGGGGAAGCACAGCAGTAATTCTATCCTGTAGTTTTAAACAGCCAACAGTAAGCAATCCTCTTGTCTTGTGCCCTCTCCAGCCCCTCAAAAAATATACAACTGACATGAAAGTCAGGTTACTGTCCTGGAGTTATAAAATGACAGAGAAGGAAGAGAAAAAGGCAATCCACTTAAGATGAAGCCATTGCCAATCCACACAAGGGGTTAAGGACTTTTGTAGAAACCCGCCCTTTTTGAGTTTCTCATGAATTATCCAAATACACTCAGCTGGAACTTTCATTCTGAAGAGGCAGTTTCTAGCGTCAGTCACTCCTTCCCACTGCTAGGGTAAGGAAACAAACCTAACAAATACCCAGATAAATCTTATCAAGAGTCAAACCAAGGGAGACAACAGAAACAGCTTTAGCAAAATTGCACTATTTCAGGAACAGAAGATTGCTTAATGTCTTCAAACACCAGGAGCTGCTCACACTTACAAGAAGATTTAAAAAATCCTGCTGGGTTGTTATACCCCAACTTACAGCACATTCCCTGCTCATACACCAGTTTTTCCATAACCCTACTGAAAACACTCACCATCCTTATTTTCCTTAAGCCAAAACTACCTTTTATAACAAGCCTATGTGTCCTCTGGGATGACTCAGCTGCCTGTGGTTCTGCGAGGCTGCTGTTTAAATTTGGGTGTCATTAGCAGAAATCCCTTTAAAAAGGAAGAATTCCCACAAACCAAGTAGTTAGAAAAAAAAGGCAATGGTATAAAAGTTTGACTCAAAAATGCTCCACCTTATTGGTCTATGCTATAGTTAGAAATGAAGATAAGAAGTTTTAGAGAGGCTAGTTTTTAAAAATAGGCAGGAGATTTGTCTGGAACACTGACAGCACAGCTCTGCAGAGAGCTTGCAGTATGAGAATTGCAAGTGCACTCTTATTTCTTATCTCTATGTATTCCGTTCACAGTTTAACAGATTTACTTTCTTACTTCTAAAAATAGCATTTCCAAGGTATCTCCAAGTTGGGTGCTCAAATGAAGAAGCAGGACAACAAAAATTCACAGAAAGGACTACTGTGTGGTCTGAGCGCAGCCAGCCTGTGGGGTGCTACTTTTTTATACTACAGTGTTTAAACAAGGTCAGGATGCAAGAGGAGGTTGAAAAGGACTTGGCATACTTGACTGATACCTACACCAGCTAAAGGGTAGTGAGAAATATATATTCTTAACTGTAAAAATGAGTCATTTTCTAACGGTCTCAGTTTAGTAAGAAGCTTCTTTGATTGACACGTGTCTTAAAAGTCACCTTTTGTATACTTCTGAAATGTTTGGTAACGACTGCCTTTCAGAAAAATGGTTTTCAAACTGGGATCTGTGGCTCTATGTATGGATGTCTTCATATGTATGTGGGTGTATCAACAACTCAGAAAAGCAAGCACAGCAAGGCTGTTTTGTTGGCTTATTCACAGAAAAAAGTCAATACTTTGACTTTTTACTGGTTTGCATATTGCAAACGTTTGCAGGCTGCAAGGTCTCTAGGCCAATCTGATCTTCCTTTAGTGTTCCCAAGTGGGCCAGGATTTAGAAAATAAAACTGGTAAGACAATTCATTTGTGGAAAGGTCCTCTAAGAGTAAAGCCAGAGCAGGAAGATCGTATGGAGATGTACTCAGACAGCTGGCAGCATAGTGGCTTCTGCCAGTTCAGTGCTGATCAGTGCTGATCTCCAGGGTTTTGAAGTATCTTTTTTGCCTAGCCAGGCATCTGAGGTCTGCACAGTGCCAATTCATAATCACTTTTTCCCTCTGATGTCAGCTTCTCCCATGTTGCCAACCTATAAACACACATGCTTCCTGTAAGGGGGACTCAGGCCATTGAGGAACTTCAGCAAGAAAGAAAGTCATGTGTGAAAGGCAAAAATGAAACAGTAAACGAGCATTGCACTTACACGGCAAGTTTACATCAACTTTTTCTTTCCTCTTGATTAACGTATTCATAACTTGGAAGTATTCAACACAAAAGTAGTGCAAATGAATTGAAAGGAACCCACTGCATACCATGGGAGGCCTCTCGTATATTACTCTGTGGAGTACCACTTTGCATACCAGGCTTGTAGTGAGTGCTACTCTCTTCTATTAAATTACTTGGGGGAAAGAAGAAAAGTTTTCAGGTATCAGGGCTTCAACAACAATTGCTGGGTTTAATGCATGTAAAAAACTCTCTCTTTGGGGTTTGTATGCCCTTATATAATTAACAAACATAGTTGCCTGAAGCACAGGCAGCCAAGGTTGTCATACAAAAAAGACATGAAATAATTCCTAAAAGCAAGTATCTTTTTCTAATGCCTCTGCTATGCATACTGCATGAGGAAGTTGTGGTTAGAGGCTTAGCTTTCATATCCTCATCTAAACTTGAGGTGGGACCTACAAATGGGTTTTAGGTCAAAGATAGTTTAAATAGTGATTGTCTCACAAACTTCCTTTACATTGACCAAATTTAAAACCCAACACCCTCTAATAATTCCCTCTTTCAGCTATATGCATTATACTTTTATTCATAATGGGCAATTGCCCCCTTATTATCTTTATTTGCTGGAAGCTTTTTTCCCAATCTGGAGCCTGGGTCTCTCCCAGCATTAGCTCAAAGTGCTTCTATTTCCATGTCTTGGAAGCACAGGAGGCACCAGAAAGAGGTTCAGAACTGATGGACTTTCAGCTGCAGTCATGGAGGAGGTGAAGTCTGTCAGCCATTTGTCAAGCGTCGTGGTTTGGCATTTGGCACATTCACTGTTATCTGGTGCTTCACTTTGCACCAAGGGGATGTCAAATGATTCATCTAAGACTTCCTGGGCTGGCCTGCTGATTCTTGAAAAGTTTAGCAGCACTGTGGAGTATTTCAGCAAGCTGTGAAGGTGCTGGAGGATTAAAAAGTCATGTTGTAATTATTCTTGAATGAGATGTTCAGTTTTGCCTGCATGATTTAAATGAACCATACTATTAATAGACTGTACTATAAACAGGCTGAAATGTAATGAGTCAGTCCTTAACTAGTTTTCAATAGAGAAAGATTTAGGATTAGCCTAACATAGCCTAATACACTTTTCAATTGTATAGCCAGGGGGTGAGAGGTGGGCTGGGGAGGAAGAAAAGGGGAGAATTCATGTTTTCACAAAGAATGGATGAAAGCTTTCCAAAATTCAAACAGAAATTATGTATGTCAGTCCTGAAACTGTCACTATCCGGTTTTGCTGTTTCATCATATTCACAGGTAGGACACAGGAATAAATTGGTCTGTGAAACGTTGTTTTTCCCCACAGTCACAGACACACGGTTGAAGTAGAAGCACAAAGATCAGTATTTATAAGCACAAGATACTCTACACACATGCTGAACAGAAAGATAGAGAACACAACACCTATGTGATCAGCAGTCCCATATAACATAGTTGCCTGAGTAATGGCTTCATAAACTACCTCATATTTTATATCTACTGATTTTCTATGTGTTAAAAATTACGTTCCAGCCCTACTGAGTTCAATGCTGAAACCTCCTTCGAGTTTAACCAGCGAAGACCCTTATCACAACACTATGGCACTTAAAAGCAATTTCATCTTCTGATTTTGTAATGGCAAATATACTATTTTTTTCAAGCAATCCACACACAGCAATATATGGTTTTAACTCTCCACCACAAAGAACACACTACTTGGTCACAGACACCTCTGCTGCAATTGTATTGAACAATGAAATTATTTGAATGCTTTAAGGCTCTGCTGACCCAGAGGCTGAACAGAGCTTGTATTCCCAACACTAATTCCCCGCATGGCCTCTATCCTGCTGCATTGGATTCAGGTCGAGGTGACATAAACTAAGCAGGGATTAAACTACAGGTATGACCAACAGCAAGTCTGCATAACAGCAAAACCCTTCTCTAAAGATACGCCACTGGGCTATAGGATCTTGAGGATTTATCTACTTTTACTTAAGCTCCACAGTGAATTGAAACAGTGTACCTTAAAAAGACTTCACTTTCTGTAAACTACTGACATCTATAGCTGCACATATTTCTATTTCTAGGAAAAACTCTCTGTTGTAGGAGATGTTTCAAAAAGGGGAATTTGCCACTCTTGGGAAAATAACATATTATAAGAGTACTATACCTGCTTTCTTTAGGTACTGACGTAATTAGAAGAGTAAGGCTGACATAAACAAAAAGCAAGCAAACCAACCCCAATATGTATTTCCCCTCTCTCCTCAACAGGAAAACTTTACATCATATTTACCTTTTTACTCTCCCCCCAGTTGTCCTGTAATATTTATAGTCTTAATTTTCCAGCTATTTCTCCCTCTTACTCGACCCTCTTCTCTCTGCTGTGTCCATAAGCCCCACACACCTGCTTTAAATTCCTTCTTCCTCCAGCCCTCTCCTCCTCATGCCCTTGGACTCCATCTTGTCTCTTGCTTTTTCTCTCTCTCCATACTCTACAAGATTCCCAGGTCAAGTCTATCCGAGTCACTACAGCAGCTCTATTTTTAAAGCAAGTGAGATAGGAGCAGGTTTTTAGCACTGTTTCTTACATTGCCGTGAGACATGGAGGGAGACTGCCACTGTGACCAAGAGCAGCGTCATTACCACCTGTACTTAAAAACTGCAAGCTACCAGGTGATTAACTGGAATTACCTGACTCAATTGGGCCTCGGAGGGAAAGAAGTGTCCTTTTTCAATCAGTGTGAAAAACATGGAGGCAAAAATAAAGTAACATGATTTCCACCATCTTGAGTCATCCTTTTAGAATAAGATTACACACTGGAAATGATTACATAGAAACTGCACCCTTATTCACCAAATCAGCTGGCAAGAGACAGCTGTCTGTTGATTTTAGTTAAATAATTTTAAATTTTGCAATTCTTTTGCTATGTGTCCCCTACAGCTCATCCTGAGTGACCTAGATTCCTGATGTTGTGTTTCTCATGGATATCAATAGTTTTCCAATCTGTTATAGCTGTATAACCCTGATGTGAACAGACACTAATAGAACCGAAGAGTCTGGCCACGCTACCGTTCCTCTTAACGAAGCTGTAAAAGGGAGGAAGACTTCTGTTTGACCTTAGTTACCATTAATATTGTTAGAGCTGATAGTTGAAAAAATTATTTTGAAATGAGCAAATTTGATGCAGAATTAAGGTTGATACCAAATTAAGCAAATTTGATACAGAACCAAGAATCAGGCATGCAGCTTCATCATTCTTTTTAAAAGAAGTTTTTCATTATAAAGCCATGTAGTACTACAGCTGCTTCTTTTTTTTTAACCAAATCCATTTTGCATCAAAATTAAATTTTAGTTCATTTTGGAAAGCGAGCTTTTAAGTTATTGTAATGTTACCTGCTTTAGTATAGGTTTACATTGATATAGACTGAATACTGTTATTTCACTTCCAGTATTGTAAAGGTATTGACCACGAGCACAACATGCCTGTGTAACTGTACAGCAACATCAGACTGCACAGTCAGACCTCAGTGAAGTAAATACTAAACCCCCGTCATTCATTGTAGCCGTGGAAGTGACTGTAGTGTGTTTTAGACACCTTCTTATAAACTGAGCTTACAGCCACCTCTAGGGGAGCCAACGGCAATTGTCATCTCCAGACCTCAATGAAGCTACTGGTCAAACTTAACACGGCTTTTTTCATTTTCCTTGAGGATGTGTGTGTGTCATCAGTAATACCCACCTTCTAATATACTACTTGAAGACAATTTTAATAATAGAATCATAGAGTAGTTTGGGTTGGAAGGGAATCCTTATTAAAGGATTGTTGATCTTACTAGGAGGGTGTCCAATACTCATCTGGATCAATCTCCCACTTTAGCCAGAGACTTTAAGAAGAAATTGAAGACATGTACGAGAAGATCACGTTTATGGCATCCTAACTGCTCCCACTAGCTGATTTCTGTCAGAAAACAGCAACCACTGAGCAGAAGGGTGCCGTTCCTGTACACCGGCTCCCCAACACCCCCCCGCATCGCACCACTGCAGCGACCCCTGGCGCCAGGCACAGCCTTGAGCTCGCGGGCTCGGGGCGGGGCCAACCCGCGGGTGCCGTTTCCCCGGCAACACTGCCCCGCCCTCCGCCGGCTCCCAGGATGCTCCGCGCCCCGCGGGACCCTGGCGGGTGGAGGGACCGGCGGAAGGTGAGGGTCATTTTTAGAGTCTGGTGTGGTGGCGGCTGCTGCTGCGGACTGAGCGGGCGCGGCGTGAGGGGAGGGCGGCAGGGAGGGAGGGCGGCCGGCCGGCCGGACTGACTGACTGACTGACTGACTGACTGACTGGGGCTTCATTTCGTGGCCTACGACCTGGGAGGCGCACCGGCCCTTGCTCTCTCTCTCCTTCTCGACCGTTAGTTGCAGAGTAGAAGGCTGCAGAGATAGATAGAGATCGCAGGGAGCGATCGTCTTTGTCTTGTGTTCCGTCTGGTGGTAACGGCGTGCTGCCGCCTCTGTTGGCTGGGCGTGGGGTGGTGGGTTTGGGAGTCGCCTGGCACAAGGTAAGGGGTAGGAAGCGGCCGCTCGCTGCCAGGCTTCCAGATGTTTACATTTGTATGCTTGCTTTTCCACCAGCGAACTTCAGCCGTGTGCAGTTTGAGGAGAATGATTATTTTTCTGCACTTCTGGAGATGGGGCACCCGTTAGCAGTGTTGTTCCTCTGACCAAGCGCCTACATCCATAACTCATAGGAAAATCAATAATAAAAATGTCATAGTGACATACAGCTCGTGTGGCCTCTCACATGCTCTTTGCCCACATACCATAAGATACATATAGTCATATATCCAGGAGGTGTAGAATACATATGCTAACAGGAGATCTCTGCTGTGTCTGAGCATCTCTCTTTTTAACACAATATGAAAGGGAAGTGATTTTTCAGAAGAGCTTTTTGGTTGTGGACTATAGAACAGTTTGTATCAAGCAGTCATCTGTAGGCCCAAGTAAAACTTTGAGTGAGATTCTAGCAAGCAAAGGTTTCTCATGTGTTTGAAGGTCCCTTGTCAGGAAAAAACAGCGAAAAACGTGCATGACATATGTAGAGTAGCTGTTCTTGAGTACAGCTAGATTTACCAAGTGCTGCTCCCTTGTAACATTTCAGCTTCTTCAGTAACAGCTGTCAGTTTGACTTAATAGTGTATGTGGCTAAAGCAAAAATCCTAATCCTGAGCTAAGATACAACCTTGTTTGTTGCTTTTCTCCTAATAATTAACTGTATCTCTTAGTGTAAGACAGAAATTGAAAGGGTGATTAATGCTGCGTGCCATGTGTAGGGATGGACACTTAAATAGCGTATGCTTAATTATTGTCAGAATGTGTACTTTGAACAGTGTTGTGGAGAAAGTGGTAGTTTGAATAAGATTTATGTCTTCTGTAATACAGAAGTCATACAGATGTTCTTCAAAATTTCTGCACTTGGGCACTTAAAGGTATTAAGTGTTTATTTTCACTGGATTCTCTTCAGCAATATCTGAGCAGTATCCAGATTATGGAACTTCCTATAATAAAGGTTTTCATGGTTCTCTGTGATATTTTTCACCTATATATTTTTTTATTTGATTACTTTGGCTGTTGCAAGTTGCTGATGGTGGATTAGTAGAATATGGACTGTTAAAGAAATGAGAGGTATGCTGTCATATTTCTCAAATGATATAGTTTTGTTTTGGCTTTTATTCACTTAATGTTCATGGGAAGTCTGACCTCTCATGAGTGTCTTGCATAGTTTTTTAAGGTAGGATTTGTTTCACTTAACTTTGACTGTCTAAAAGCTAGGTGTCTAGTTCAAGGCTGTGTTTTTGTGAGCTCATGATGGGACAACTCTCTGCTCCCTAAAGGAGAAAGCTTTGTTCCTCCTTCTGCCTATTTGCTTGGCTCTTTGTTCTTTTCTTCTACCCAGTACCAGCTGCCTGCTTTCACTGATGATGTATCTTGTTGGATGCTTCCATGAGCTAGTGTGACTCGCTGACCTCACAGAAAAACCATTGAGTGTTTTCTATTTAAGTATGTTGGCTTCTTAGAGTTAAAAAACTTCGTGGAAGGGTCTGATGAATAATAAATCTCGGAGTGGGAAGGAAGAAGGGAGGAGTGGAACCTCCCCTTTGAGGTGGCAGTGAGCTCTTGTATTGGATTACACTTTCATTAGTGCATTATCTAAGTCTTATTGTAGACTCTTAAGCAGGGATGAGAAGGGGTAGTGTTTGAAGAGCTTGCTTTCATGAGCCTGTGCTGCTTGTGAGTGTCTCACAAGATACAAAAAGTGGAATGGAAGAAAACATTTTATATTCAAGCATATATGTGAAGAAGATGATGTATTTGCAGTGATGGTGGAGATCAAACGATTTTCCTCAGTTTTGCTTTGTACAGAATTGCACTTTGTAACTTTGAATTACACTTTGTACACTGTAACCATGGTGTTCTTAGGCATTAGTCCTGCTATGCCAAAAGCTAAAATGGCAGTGGAGTTAGTTTCAAAGCTTTCTAATTTCCCTAAAACTCAGTTACAGTCCTCACTCTCCTAGGTACTTTAGAAGGGTCAGTAATGATCAGATTAATGTATCTTGCTTCTAATACTGGAAAGAACTATTGAGGCTTGGAACTTGATGATCTTAAGGTTCCTTCCAACCCTAACTATTCTATGATTCTATACTTCCTCATTTCTTGGCATCTGTCAATTTGCAGCTTTCTCACACCAATCTGATAATCACATTTAGCAAAACTCTTTCTGGAAAGGTCACAAGAAACCACAAGAAAACAAGGAAGTGACATGTATTAATGGCATGTTTCAGGGCTGAATTTTGGGCTGGTGTCTTCCAGACTGTGAAACCTTAACTCTTCTCCAGGGAGGGTTTGATAAGAATTCAAGAGTGGGAATGATCTCTTCTTCCAACTGAAATGATGGTACTACTCAATACCATCATTTCAGTTGGAAGATGAATGTATTGTATGTGCAAATGAATGTACTGAGTAGTACAACTTGTTAGGATAGTGTGACAGACTGTGACTTGTAATCAGTAGTAGTAAAAGCACTATGTGTCTGATGCCTGGCCTTTGCTTGAGCTCTGATTAACAAGGCATAATTAGGGCATTACTAGCATCACAGTTTGATTCTCAGTGTACAGCATAAGGAAAAATAACATTCCATGTAATCTGTTAAGATAGAAGTGCTTGTGCTTATTTTGTATTAGCTTCAATAATATCCATTTATTCATGTCCCTGGTAGGGACTAGGCAGAATGAGCAGAGTTGACCTTTCAGTAAAGGTCTCTAACCTGAGTTACAGCAGGGCCAGGAGTCTCCTGTACTTGAAAGCAGAAGTGGCATGTGAAATCTTTGAACAGTGAATGTACTTGACTGCTAATTACGTGTCCTTGTAATTTCATCAGGTGACTTGATGTTCTGGGATAACAGCAGAAAAAGCGGATGGCATTGTAGATTAGTTACAAGTTAATTTCAATTTTGTCTTCTCCATACTCATAGTGAACAGTCAATCATAAAATGGAGGCGTTGGGTACTCTTCTTCCTCCCATGGCTGGAATTGAGGATACCGCTGATACACAAAACTTGCAGAAACTTCTGATTGACGAAAGAATGCGATGTGAATCCTATAAAGTAAATTATCAAAATGTGAAGGCAGAAAATCTAAGGTAATTTAAACAGGTTTCTTAATCTCAACTGTTAATATGTGGGAGGGGTTGTGTTAGCTATTTCTGTATTTAAGGACAGAATGTTGTTCATATTAGAGAATAAACAATTCAGAATACCTCAGGACATTGCATATTATGTTTCTGCAATAGTTGTTACGCTTGTAAATACGGGATACCTTTTCAGTATGTTACAGGAAGAGGGTATTAATAGTTTAGTTCTAACTTGCTATGTTTGATTCTGCTTGTGAGTTTTTTGAGCTCTAATTTTAAAGAGTAAATGTAAAATAAATTGTTTTTATCTTGCAGATTACAGGAGGAATATACAAAATCACAAGATGAACTGAAGCGACTGTTAGCTGAAAAGCAGACTGTACACGAGAAAATTCAGCAGCTTTTTTCTGAATATCAAGAGGAGTTGCTGGGTAAAACACGAGAGCTGGAAAACCTGAAGATGCAGGTGAGATAATTTACTTTCAGGACCTAATATGGTATCAGGTCCTATAATAGGGCCATGTGTATATTTATGTTTATGTAATGTGTGTATTTATGTTTATGTGACATGTATATACCTAGCTTGAATATAGTTCACACTGCCTTGAAATCCACCCAACCAGAGTAATGTTTCTTCTTTAGGGTGACTGACTATGGGTTGAAATTATTGTTTGCTAGTTTAACTGAATCTTCCAAATTCTCTTGTTATGTCCTATGTTAACAGCAAGACTTTTCAGTCTTTGTTTATGCTCCCCTGTTATGGGGAGAATCATTGCTTTCTTTATCTTAAAAAAAATGCCAAGAAACTGAGAAACACGGAAACAAGCAAAAACCCCTGAATCTTTAAGGTAACTTGGGTGACACTTTGTATGACTGCTTTTTTCCTTAAACTAATACACAAACAGTTCTAAGAGCATTCCTAATGTTCCTAAGACCCCTAATGTTCTTACAAAACAAATTCAGCATCTAACAAAGGATCCCAGACTCTGACTGGAGGATATATGCCCTGGTACTATAACTAGAAGTAATTTTCAGGGACTTCAGGGTACAAGTGGAAGCAAAGCAGAATAAATGGAGTATGTCACAGGTTGTGGATGAGATTGGTTTTTGTTGTTTTTTCTTTTTAATACTTTTTCTTGGTAGATAGTTTGCTGTATTAGCCATACCCAAGAAAAGTTAACAAATTACTATGTAGCATGGAGCTTAAAGCAGGGAATCTTTCCTGATCTTAGTTTCATTTCAGTCTAATACATAAGCTCCAACAGATACATTGTATCTAATGTGTTTTACAAATAATTGGGTTGGTATTGCTCATTTTGATTCTTTGGGGTTGGTTCCCTTACTGTTTTAAGTTTTCCCAAGCTCTAATTCTTTATCCCTCCACCCCTCCAGGACATAAATCTCTTGGCGATTCATCTTGACATTTGCATTGCTTCTACCAGTAAATACTGATGTTTTAAATGCTTCTGTTATCTTCCCAGAATATTTGTAGTTTACTAATACATCTTTTTTTTTCTTCTGTAACTATTAGTGAAAAGTCTTTAGAAAAACATAGAGTATTAAGCAGGATTCCTAAAATCATATTTGAAATACTTTATTCCTGGCTATTTGTCCTATGACAGTGCAAATAAATAACTATGACGAGTTATTTATGATACTTTTCTGTCTTAAGGTGATAACTCCTCAAAAATTAGAACTGTTAAAAGCACAAATACAGGAGGAACTAGAATCTTCTATGGCAGAACTTCATCAGAAGCTAGAAAATGTAAGTAGTATGTATTGAAATTCTATTTCTTTCAGAGTAGGGATCACCAGTTTATAGTTGTTCCTCAAACCTTAGGAAATCAAAACTGAAAGGGGAGCAAAGTATAACATTCTTTTTCTGGTATTATTGCCCCAGGCAGTGACTGTTGAAACCCTGGAAGAGGGAGAGGGAGGGATTCAGTTCATCAACTATAACTTTTGAAATTATAGGAACACTGAATGGCATTTGAAGAAAATAAAGCTGAAAACATCATTGATTGATATTTTTGTGTTTTTTTCTGTCTAATTTAGGAAGTGGAAAAATACAGAACAGAATATAACAAACTTCGCTATGAACATGCTTTTCTGAAGTCAGAATTTGAACATCAACAGGAAGAGCATTCACGGATTTTAGAAGAGAAGAAAATACGATATGAGGCTGAGGTACACAGAAAGTTTCCATAGCTTGAAATATATCTGATGACAAAGCTGCTTGAACACTGTGAAAATATTGATACTTGATGGGTTGTCAGTATGATGCCATTTCATAATGTAGTGTTTATTTCTGTTCTCTCATTTCTCAAAACACTTTAATGACTTAGCCTAAAGCTGTCTCTGTGGGTTTGTTCAGTGATGTGCCGCAATATCATTCGTGATGTAGTAAGTAGGAATAGACTTGCCTTCTGATAAATGACAGTCAGTAGCCTTGCTTAATGGGGTTTTTTAATTGCATTTGTGATAGAATTTGAGACATCATGCTAATCTGAAATTAATAAATTATCTGGACAACTGATGGAACTGATGGAAGTTTAGATTTTAAATTACTTATGTGGCAATTAATCCAGGAAGGAGGCACTAGAAGATACTGTTAATAGCAGACAAGGATACATTTTGCAACTGAGCTGGATCATGACAGTGGTAGTCAAAAAGGATATTGAAAAATTTGATGACTTTATTTCAGTTATGTTAACTCTTGAATAAGCAGTTAATGAATTTTCTGTTTCAGGATTGGACTTTCAAAAGTGTAGCTAAATTGACAGCTTATTTATGTTTTAAATATTTGCAGCAGTGTATATGATGCTGCATATGTCATTAGCATATCGATTTAAGTATTTGTCTGGGAGCACGTATCCTAAGATACCAGATTTGAATGTATTAGTCCAAACATGACACACAAATCAAAGCAATCATCACTTTTAAAATGAATCCAAATTTGCAAATGCAGTGCATTAAAAACAGTTGTCCTTCCTGGATCTAAACCCACATGCTGCCTGCCTTCCTGGATCTAAACCCACATGCTGCCTGCCTCTCCTGTGTGCTCGTTCTAGTCCTGCAGCTGATTAGCACACTTAAAGGGAATGAAACTACCTGAGCCCAGGGCAAAATATGACCGAGTTTTCTCTCTAAGACCCTTTTAAACCTTCCATGCCATTTAGCACAAGGAGGCTACAAAACTTCTCTGGACAACCTGTTCCAGTGTCTTGCCACCCTCACAGTGAAGAATGTATTACCAATATCTAGTCTAAATTTACCTTCTTTCTGTTTAAAGCCATTCCCCCTAGTTCCATCACTTCATGCCCTTGTAAAAAGTCCCTCTCCAGATTTCTTGTAGGCTGCCTTAGGTACTGGAAGGCTGCTACAAGGTCTCCCCAGAACCTTTTCTTCTCCAGGCTGAACAAGCTCAATTCTCTCAGCCTGTCTTTATATGGGATGTGCACCAGTCACTGGATCATCTTTGTGACCCTTCTCTGGACTCACTCCAACAGGTCCCTATCCTTCTTATGTTGGGAGCCACAGAGCTGAACACAATACCGCAGTTGGGGTCTCAAGAGAGTGGAATAGAGGGCCAGGATCACCTCCTTCAACCTGCTGGTCACACTTCTTTTGATGCACCCCAGGACATAGTTGTCTTTTTGGGCTGTGAGCTCACACTGCAGGCTCATGTTAAGCTTCTCAACATGAATAAGGGTTCAAACTTGAACACGGGAAGTTCAGGTCAGATATAAGGAAGAAATTCTTTACTATGAGGGTGGTGAGGCACTGGCACAGGTTGTCCAAAGAAGTTGTGAATGCACCATCCCTGGCAGTGTTCAAGGCCAGATTGGACGGAGTCTTGGGTGACATGGTCTAGTGTGTGGTGTCCCTGCCATTGGCAGGGGGGTTAGAACTAGATGATCTTAAGGTCCTTTCCAACACTAACTATTCTATGATTCTGTGACTCTCGTCTACCAACACCCCCAAGTCCTTCTCCTCAGGGCTGCTCTCAATTCATTCTCTGCCCAGACTGTGTTTGCACTTGGGTTTGCCCCAACCCAAATGCAGTACCTTGCACTTGGTCTTGTTGACGTTCATGAGGTTTGTGCTGGCTTACATCTCAATCCTGTCAAGATTCCTCTGATGACATCCATTCTCTCCAGTGTGTTGACTTCTAAAAGCACTACTGCAGATCAGAGTTTGGACTAGTCTCCAAATATGAAGAGAACTCTTTTCATACCTTACTTTTCTTGCTCTTTTGCCCCCAGTATTGCATTTAGTTCACATAACTCATTTTGAACCACTGGAATATATTTATACTATGTTAGCTACAGTCTCAAGATGAGTTTGTACCTTATGCTACCTTATATCAGAAAGACTATCTACTTATTTACTTATCTTTGTCTGGCAGGGCCCAATCATGAGTTTGGCTGTCTTGAGTTACTAGCAGATATGAGTTCCATTGTGGCTACAGAATTGTGGAATCATAGTCTGAGTCAGAAAAGACCTCTTTCTAGTCCAGTATGCTGTTTAAAATACTGAAGTGTAACGAGATTGGGTTGCCCAGGGTCATGTCCAGTTGGGTCTTGAATATTTGCAAGGATGGAGATTCCACGACCTTTCTGGGAAAACTATCCCAGAAAGTCAAACATTTTTAATAGAAAAGCTGTTTAACCATTTTCATAGTAAATGTTTTTCCTAATATCTAATGGGCATTTCACATGTTCCAGCTTGTATCTGTTGCCTCTCTTCCCATCACAATGCATCTACTTCTCTTCTCTGAGCTTGGAATAGCAGTTCTGCTTCCCAGGACGTTGACCATTTCCCTCCAATTTGGTGTCACCCACAGCCTTGCTGAAAGTGTACTCCATCCTGTCATCCAGGTCACTAATGAGGACAACAGTCAGTATTAGACCCTGTGTTGATCCCAGAAAGACCCCACTAGTTACAGGCAGTCAGCTGGGCTTTGCACCACTGATCATCATTCTTTGAGCCTGGCAGCCCAGTTTTTTTTCCACCCACTTTTTCATTCACTTTTCCAGCACATACATCAGCTGGTGAGAGAGAAGGGTATGTGAGACTGTATCAAAGGCCTTGTTAAAATCAAGATATATCAGATCCACTTCTCCCTGCTTTGTCTGCAGTGCCATTCACCTCTTTCTAGAAAGCAGAGTAGTAGGTCAAGCATGATTTGCCCTTGGTAAACCCTGCTTTTCATCACCTTGTCTTTCATGTGTTTAGAAATGGCTTTTAAGAGGTTTTGCCCTTTCACAGAGACTGATATGAAGCTGACTGGCCTATAGTTGTCTGGGTCCTTCTTGATCTTTTTGCTCTTCTTGATGATGGGTGTGCTGTTTGCCTCTTTCCAGTCACCAGAAATCTTCTCTGGTGGCTGTGTCTTTTAAAAAATCAGCCTTGCGATGAGACCAGTGAGCTCCTTCAAATTGCTTGAATCCATTTGTGTGTGTCCAGTGGATTAAATGATCCCAAACATTTTCGTCCTTTACGCTGGGTACTGCTTTACTAGCACAAACTGCTAGGGGGCTCAGGGACATCTGAGGCCTCAGGACAAGCCTTATCAGTGCAAACTGAAGCAAAAAAGTCATCTGTTGATTTTCCTACTCTTAAGAGTGAAATGTGAATGTAATTTCTTAATATTTTAAAAGCACACTGCTGCTTTATTCAGTTGTCAACTGCTGTATTTGTTACTGCCTGATATCTAACCAATGTAAAAGCTTTTCTTTTTCTGATTAACAACTATCAGGTGGCAAAGTTGGATAAAGATAAAGAAGAACTCTATAAACAGCTGCATAGTGTTGATCCCACGAGGGACAGTAAACGCATGGAGGCACTCTCTAGAGAAAAGGCACAACTGATTCAGAAAATAAAAGGCTTAGAAGCAGAATTAGAAGAACTAAGAGCAGAAAAAGACAATTGTAGGGTGCAAGCAGAAAGTGTTCAAAGAGTACAAGTCCGGCAGTTAGCTGAGATGCAGGCTATGGCAAGATCTTTGGAGGTAAGTGGGTTTTGTGGGTGTTTCTTTTTTAGGTTTTGCCTTCTTGCAGAGTATGGTGACAGTAACACTTGGTCTGATAGAGCTGTCACTGAAGTCATGATAATTTTGCCATTGAGTTCACTGTTTGAAATTGTACATTTCAGATTTAAAAACAGTCTGTAAGTACACTGGGAGTCCTGTGCTGCCAATTCAACTTTGGAAGGGTGGAGAGCTCAACTGAGGGATTCCATTGAATATCTCCTTTCTAAACATGCAAGTGATATCAATATTTACAGTCAGTAAGATGGTCATGTCAGCACTTGGCAAGAGTTAGAAACTGATGACAATATGTTAACAATCTGCTACAGTAATTTTTTTATTCTTTTTGAAAATGTTATATGGTTCTCCCCTACTTATTCAATCCTTTCCTCATGTGTCATCTTTTTTGTCTACCTTTGTCTTTCCTTTTGGCAACACATTACTACAGTTGTTTAGTTCTTGGCTGTTTCTTTCCTTTAAAAAAACTGATGTTACTTCTAGCCTGTTGTATGTTTCCTAGAGTTTCACTTTATTCCTCATCTGTCGTCTTCAGTCATCCTGTCAATTCTTACAGTCTCTCTAAATAGTGAGTCTTTCCATGTGGATTTCTTGCGCAGTTGCAGCATACAGATAGATGGTCTATTTTCCTTTTACTCTTTTCACTGCTATATACCTTTGTTACAGAATACTCTGATCATGACTTAAAAAGTGCTATAATATTCTTAAGTTAGAGAACTTAAAAAGGTCTGCTATAAATAGGCCAGTTTGGAAAAAGGAAGGTGAAATTGTAGATTAGATTACCTTTTTGATACTTAGAAACACTCAGGGCCTTAAGTCTCTAATACAGTAACTGCATTTTATTTCCTATCTAGGAGGAAATAAATTCTTCAGTTAGTCTAAGTGCATAGGCCAACATATGAAATCTTTTTGAGCACCACTTAAAGTAATACTGATGTTTACAGCCCAGTGATTTATTAGTAGGAATACCTGCTGCCTCCTCAACAAGTCAGATTACTTCTGCTGATGACACCAAGCTGTGTGGTTCGGTTGATACGCTGGAGGGAAGGAATGCCATCCAGAGGGACCTTGACACGCTTGTGAGGTGGGCTGATGCCAACCTCATGAAGTTTAACCATGCCAAGTGCAAGGTCCTACACCTGGGTCGGAGCAATCCCAGACACAGCTACAGATTGGGCAGAGAAGAGATGCAGAGCAGCCCTGCAGAGAAGGACTTGGGGGTGCTAGTAGATGAGAAAATGAGCATGAGCCGGCAGTGTGCGCTTGCAGCCCAGAAAGCCAACCGTATCCTGGGCTGCATCAAAAGGAGTGTGACCAGCAGGTCAAAGGAGGTGATCCTGCCTCTTTATTCTGTTCTCGTGAGACCTCACTTGGAGTACTGTGTGCAGTTCTGGTGTCCTCAACATATAAAGGACATGGATCTGTTGGAACAAGTCCAGAGGAGGGCCACGAGAATGATCAGGGGACTGGAGCACCTCCCATATGAAAATAGGCTGAGAAAGTTGGGACTGTTCAGCCTGGAGAAGAGAAGGCTGCGTGGGACTGTAGTGATAGGACAAGGGGTAATGGGTTAAAACTTAAACAGGGGAAGTTTAGATTGGATATAAGGAGGAAATTCTTTCCTGTTAGGGTGGTGAGGCACTGGAATAGGTTGCACAGGGAGGTTGTGAATGCTTCATCCCTGGCAGTGTTCAAGGCCAGGTTGGACGAGGACTTGGGTAATATGGTTCAGAGCGAGGTGTCCCTGCCCACGGCAGGGGGGTTGGAACTTGATGATCTTAAGGTCCTTTCCAACCCTAACTATTCTATGATTCTGTGATTCTTGTGAAATAGGACTGAAAATGTGTGTGATTCTGCCTAGGACGTGTTAGTAAAACCAATTGTGCCTTTTGAGTAAAATTCAGGATCCTTGTATTGGAGCATATTTTAAGCAAAGATAAATATTTATGTATTATATAATATAAAGGGTCAGTATTTTCTGAAAGCTCAGATCAATTGAACCATTCAAGTGAATATCAAGAGGCAAAAAATCTTACTAATACCTCTGTTATTCAAGACAGAAAAGAAGTCTGCTGAACTACAGATTGATCGAATTGAGAAAGAATTGCAGATGAGTCATGAACAAAACTTTCTCTTAACTACTAAACTTCATAAATCGGAACGAGAAGTAAATTCCTTAGTTACCAAAGTAAGTACTTTTATGGTATCTGAAATCAATTTTTCATATCCTGTTATGTTTTTCTTTTTTTATATTTTACATTAAAAATAAAGTAATAATGTTTTCCCCTGTGACCTAAAATAGAGTTGGAATTTTTTCCCAGTTTCAGTCTAAAGAGAACAGGGCTTGAAGAGGTGTCTTTAAGGTCACGTCAAAACCAAACCATTCTATGATTCTATCTTAGTTGTTGGGTTGACACCAGATCTTAGAGGTTTTATTCTATGCTTTTTTTTTTTTTTTGTGAGTTGTGTTTTGTTGATTGGTTTGGGAGTTTTTTTTTTCATTTTGGGGTTTTTCGAGATCTTAAAGAAATTTCTAGACAAATACTGTAGGAAAAAAAAAAGGATCAGAGGCTTCAAGTTTAAGGAAAACCTGAAAGTGCTTTAGAAGCTTGATATTGCTGTTTAGAATTTCAGCGTAATTAGGTTAGTATGGATGCCAGATTCAGAGTGTTACCTAGTTGCAGTGATTCCTCAGCTACACAGCTTAAAAAAGACAGATCCTTTATGCAATTTCATATGTGATTATTTGAATAAACAAGAAAAATTGAAACACTAGTGAACTGTTTTTCCTTCAAGTGTTGCAGAATGCTTACATTGCTTTATGTGAATTTGAGTCAGGATATTAGTCCTAATGAAATAGTTACTTGGGTAAATAGTAGTTTTTTACTTTTATACTTATTTTACTTTTATTCTACTTTCCTTTTTCCAGAGAATACTGGGAGATAAATTTTTATCACATCTGTCAGTTCCTGGTAACAAATTTAATCCCCTCTTTTCTTACCTTCCTGGAGAGGCTTTAGTTAGTTATGAAGTAACTGTAAAGCCAGGCACTTTGGCCTTGTATATGTGTCTGAATGCAGATTTATTTTAAGCTCTCTGTTGACTTAAAGCTGTCTTGCATTTTTGAATGTACATTCCAAAATGACAAAGCCCTGGGCTTTGTGTGGGTACAGAAGTTAGTATTGTCATAATATACCTCCAGAAAGATACAGTACAGCAAGAAAACTTTTAACTTCTACCACAGTTGTTCTTTAACAATCTCAGATTTAATTCAAAACAGGCTTTCCAGTTCACATTTATGGGTATGGGGGATTTCATTTTGGTCTTTAATCCAAAAAAGTTTTAATTTACCATAAGAATAGGCTATGCCTCTGCCATTATTTAAAGCCACTTATGCAATGTGCCATACTTTTCTCACAGGAGTAATAAATAGGAGGCGAAAACTTATGCTAAACATTTTTTAAGAAGTAGAGATATGTAAAACGTTGAGTGGTGTTTCCTGAAGGGAAGAAAGTAGATACTAATTTCTATACTCACCTCCACCTCCTTCAGCGCCCACTCAAAATTATTCCTGAGTACATTTGTCTTCCAAACATTGTGCCTTAAAAAATCCACCTTAAATCTTTGCAAGTTGACCTGAAATGTTCACAACCTAGTATTTAAGCAATCAAGTCCACCATGTAGTTACTTAATAACCTAGTATGTCATTCTTAACCTTTTGCCACTGTTTATGCTAGCAGGTTGTAATTACATTTGTCATTGTGAGTAGATTTTCATTGTAAGTGCTTTCCTCTAGATACTTAATTCTCATTGACCATGTAATTACTGTATCCAAATGCCTAAACTATAGAAAGTTTCCATGCAAGCAGTAATTTTCTTTGATTTGATATTCTTAAAACTCCTGCTTTTATGGGGCCATTTTCTATATATGTCACAGTTGTAGAGAAGTATTTGATTTGAAATGCACTTTAAGAAACTATAAAGACCTGGATTTTGAGAAAGTAGTATGGCACCCCAGGAGGCCAGAGTGACTATAAGTAGTTACCAATTTAAATTAGTTGGGGGAGCAATTGATAATATGGTTTTGCATATCACTGTTTTGTTTTACTGAGGGAGGTTATATTTAACTTTGTGTAAGTTTGAGGGATCCGTAGTCAGAAGTGAAAAATGTGTAAACTGACATGCTAATGCTTGAGTTAGCAAGGCATCAGGGTCTTATGTTTGGATCACTGTCATATCAAGATATTCCCAATGAGCAGTCTTTTCAGAAATACCCAAATATTCAGAGGCTGGCTTGCAGAGTGTATAGTATTTACTCAGAAACTCAGTTTTCACAGGCAATCCTGTGCATCTGTGCATATATCACCAAGACTTTGTGAAACAGTAACTTTTCTACACTGTAGCTTGTAGTTAACTGACTGGTTAAAGATGGAATACGTGTCAGTAGTCGGACAGCTTGGTTCCTGGAATGGATGTTGTGTTTGAGCACTTTATAATTTTTTTTAATCAGAGAATGTAGAAAGTAGCATTTCAAAATGACTTAATGTTCAGTAATCTTCAGTGTGTGACTTAATAAAAACCTGTAATAGCCCTTACTATAATTTGGGGAATCAAATCATGTCAACAGCTTTAGTGTTACAGTATCTATGTCATCACCATTAAAACTTAATCTCACTATTAAAAATTATCTACGAGAGTGGGTATTCAGGATTGCCTTTAGGAAAGCAGTAGATGAAAAAAAAAATTAAAATATGTTTAAAATAAGCTGAGTCCAAGATTATTGGGAGATTTTCTTGAAAAGATTACAGTAAAGCTGTGAATATGTATATATATTTATTTTGGTTATTTTTCCCCTCCCATAATTCACAGGTAGAAGAACTTACACATTCACATAAATTGGAAGTAACAAATGTCAAACTGGAGGCAGCAAGAACAAAGAGTGAAATAGAAAAAGAGAGAAACAAGATTCAAAGTGAAATGGATGGTAAAACATGAAATTATTTTCTAATTATTTCTTTTGTAACTTTCAGGTGGAATACTACAATTATTTTCTTCCAAACATTCCCCAGCAACCTTCGCCTTCTACTTCTGGTCTATATAGCCAGGAGTCATTGTTGCACGTTGGCTTATTTGCCAGTGAAAACAGATGCCTTGGTCACCAGTTTTTAATTTGCATCTTATGCCCCAGCCTATATAGTCATCATTTTAGAACCGCCCCATTTGGTAATATGAGTGGAATATAATGCGAGATTTGTTGTAGCGAGGTTGCTACAGTTTCACTGCTAACCAATTACTGTGTCCCATAAACTTTTCCATAAAATGAAAACTTGCTTGCTTGATGTTTTTGTAGCTATTGTGGAGCACTTTTTTAATCTATCCAGACACAACTGCTTAACAGAAATTGCTTTAGAGTTTAAATCTATAATACTCAGAGAATCATAGAATAGTTAGGGTTGGAAAGGACCTTAAGATCATCTAGTTCCAACCCCCCTGCCATGGGCAGGGACACCACACACTAAACCATGTCACCCAAGACTCCGTCCAACCTGACCTTGAAGACTGCCAGGGATGGAGCATTACCTTTACAGTAAAGAACTTCTGCCTAATATCTAACCTAAACTTCCCCTGTTAAAGTTTGAACTCATTACCCCTTGTCCTGTCACTACAGTCCCTGATGAAGAGTCCATCTCCAGCACCCCTGTAGGCCCCCTTCAAATACTGGAAGGCTGCTATGAGGTCTCCATGCAGCCTTCTCCAGGCTGAACAGCCCCAACTTTTTCAGCCTGTCTTCATACAGGAGGTGCCTCAGTCCCCTGATCATCCTCGTGGCCCTCCTCTGGACTTGTTCCAACAGTTCCATGTCCTTTTTATGGTGAGGACACCAGAACTGTACATAGTACTCCAACTGTGTTAAAATAATAAACCCTCATAGGCAGAGATTCCAGTGCACTGACGACTCCTCAAAAGTTTTCAAAATGTTGCTGTTATACTAAGAAAGGCTATTTCTTTCTGTTTTCTTTGATTTTTTTTCCCCTGTTCTTTCATTCTGTCATGTGAATTGTGATTTTTACCTCCTTTTTATCAATTTATAAAACTATTTTAATACTGAACTTCATCGGGTTGATATTCACAATGACATTTTAACCTTTTCTGAATGTATAATACAGGATTGCTGTCAGACGTGGAAATTCTCAAGGCAGCTGTTGAACATCATAAGGAGCTTTTAGTAGAAAAGGATCGGGAGCTAATTCGTAAAGTGCAAGCTGCCAAAGAGGAAGTTTCTGAAAAAATTGCAGTCTTACAGGGTGAAAAGTATGTTTGTTGATTTACTGCTCACCTTCTAACAGAAGAGTGTTTTGAGTAACTTCTTAAAATGTTCTTGGCAACTGAACACTTTGTCATTTTGTCATGATTCTTGTGTGTGTGTTGAATGACGTCTCAGGTTAGAACTTGAGAACAAATTAGCTGATCTAGAGAAGATGAAACTGGAACAAGATACTTTGAGACAGTCTGAAAAGGATCAGTATGAAGAGAAACTACGTTTCTTACAGACGATTGAGGAATCTAGCAAGAAGGAACTTCAGTGTTTGCGGTAGAGTGGCTTTTCTGACTTTTAACAAAAATTTCTTAAGTTTCCCCCCTTATTTCTTTATAGGAGTTAGTGTAAAAGTTTGCTATTCATAGATACACAAATGTTCATTATGTTAAACTAAACAACATTATATTTTGCATTGTGTAAAAAGGGGGCAGAATTAAAAACAGCTCTGTTTAAAAAAAACAGCCCCCAAGCTTTCATCCAAACCTTTAATGATTATAATTTACTGAACATTTTTAAGACATAATTTTGCAATATTCATGTTTGATTAAATTGGGTCCATGTAAAGCTGGGGCTATGCCAGCAGCCAAGAGTAAACCATTTATCTTTCCACAATGGCACCATATCAGCAATTGTCAAATTGGGATCTTAGTATGATACCTCTTTGAGTTTGTTATTATAGTTCTTGGTGAAGTCATTATACTACAGTATTTTTATGAAGGTCGATATGATAAAATGAGCAAAAGCTATACTCCAAAAAGCAAACAAAGAAATGTATTTGTTAATCCTGTATGAATTCTAATAATCAATCAAAATACATTTTAAATCATTGCTTAGTTACATATTTCACAGCCTTTCAAATTATGGAACACGTTCTGTTGTCAGGCTGATTTGTCCTAACTTCTAACATCTATATTTTGATTAGATGAAAATAAGGATGTCTTGTACAATTTTAGATTACAAATTCAACAGCGAGATATTCAGACAGAGGAGTTGGAAGAAATGAAAATAGAAAGCGCTGATCTGAAACAAGTAAGGTCTTACTGCATTGTAGTGTTTGATAGAGAAAAAGAATCTTTTCTGCTGTCACCATGCCCAGCATATGAAGATTAGATTGAATTTTTAAGGCTTTTTTTTTTTTTTTCCTGAGGGACAAAACACATAAAACAGGTACTTAAAAGTGTTCAGAAATCAGTCATGCTTTCCTAGATCTTTATAAATGAATTACAGCTTTTTGCTTGATTTGTTTTGTGGGTACCAAGGATTTCAAAGCTGAATGTTTATAGACTGGTATATTGAATACAGTCATGGACTATTTAACTGGAGATTCAGTTTCCATGGAGACTTATAAATTGTTTCTAGATAATGCTTTGCATTTACACTGCATCTCTCATCTGAGGTTCTTAAAGTGCTTAACAGATGTTTCATAAATGAATAAACTAGTGTAAAGAGGTATATTTCTATTGCAAAGTGAATTGATGGCAGTGTTGAAAATAAAACCTAATTCTTTTAACTCCTGCTCACTCATGATCTTATTTAATAGGTAAGAACATAACTGTGCATCAAAGTATTCTGCAAGCTGTGTGCACTTGAAACTCCAGGCAATATTTTTTTCCTCCACAAATCAGAAATTAGGATATGAGTATCCATGTGGGGAGAGACAAAGGAAAGGAAAATTACCCTTTCTACGTGCTGACTGCAGAGGTTGAACTTTTCAGGCTCTATACTTGTTTTTGTGAATAGCCAACACTGGCTGTAACACATAGAGATAGAAGAGTCTGCATAGCTCCAAAGCACTGCTACTAAATGTATGGTGTCTAGTTCTGTTCAGTCCTGGGGCTTAGTGTTGGATTTCTGAAGTTCTGGGGGACACATCAATGACTGAAGACTCTGCCTCCCCTTCTCATTTTAACTACAAGAGAAAACCTTCTTTGTCTAGTAGTGATATACTGTAATGCTTTTGGAGAAGCTGTTGAGTAAGGAGATAAGGAACAAACAAGAAAGGCTTATGAAAAGCTAATGCAGTGATTTGGTGTCTGTGTTTTGGTTTATCTCAGTATCTCAAAATTAATTGTTAGTTATTTGCATGCCTTCTCAAACTGAAAAAATTCTCTTCTTTTTTTGTAGCAAATTCATGACATGCAACTCCAGATTGCCTCACTTTCTCAATCAGAAAAGAATTTGCTGGAGTCTAATCAGAAGCTGCAGGAAAAAATAGAGATATTGAAACAAGAATGTCGACATGCAAGGAATCAGGCTGAAAAAGCTCAACTAGAAGCAGAGAAGTAGTATTTTGTTTTCTTCCTTTTGGCTTTACTTTTCATACTGCTTGTGTTCTTTTCACATGGATTACCTAGCTGTGGATTGTAGATTTTTAATAAAGCCAGAAGTTAAAAATGAACAGCAAATAGCAGGCAGTTGTAATAAATGGCTATACATTCTGATATGCAGTATGTGTAATAGCTTGGCTTGTGGTAACTTCAAAAATCATAGAATCATAGAATGGTTATGGTTGGAAAGGACCTTAAGATTATGGAGTTCCAACACCCCTGCCATGGCATCCACTTCTGCAAGCCCCCATGGGTGTAATAACAAAATAGGAGTGTGTTTCCATTTATGTCTATACAATTAATTATTGAATAGTGAAATACACTATTTGGATAAAATGAAATCCTATTTCTACTGAAATGAATGTCAAACTTACATTAGTTTAAGTGGATCTAGAGTTTCACACAGTTCTTTTAAGAATGTTTAAGCATTAAGGGTGAATAATGCATTTAAGCATTGTATTATGCTTTGGTAGGTTTCGGGAACCCAGTCTGTATGAGTGTGTATTTATATAGCCAAATACATGTCTAGCTTGTATTGGATTATTGTGTGGTGGGTTTTTAAAAAAGGCAGCATCCCAGTTAAATGGAAAACTTCCAAAAGATATAATGGGACATTTTTTGTTTTAACTTCTCTTTTTGCTACAAGTTGGTACTATAATTGCTTTGTTGTCTTTAGCTTAAGTATTGCTTTTCAGTTTAACATTTGAAGAAATTACTGCATTGGGACTGCAGGCTACGTTCAGTTGTCAGTAGGATGTTAAATACTTTGGATGCTTACTTTAGGAAAGTGTATTCCCACTTTAAGATTTTCCTCTATTATTTGAGTGAGACTAACAATATCATTTAGATATTTATGTGTCGTAGACCAGCCAGGAGTAGGTTTTCCAAAGAAGGCAGTGGAAGGAGCTTGGCAGTCCTCAGAGATCCTTGTATAAGCAGGCAGATAATGGAGATGCACCAAGGCTGATGCTTTTAGCCTGTGAGCCATGGGACATATTTCCATTCTTTTTCTGACTCTGTGGTGATAGGACTTCCTTCCTCAGGTCAGTAATACTTATAAACTTGAACTCCAAGAGTTAAGTGGCACCAAAGCAACTTGTCTTAAAAAGGAAGTGAAATAAAGACCAAAAGATAAAAAAGCCTAAGATAAAGTTTCATATGAATAAAATAATACCAGATGGGCTGTAAGCAGGTAAAACAGCTGCCTGACTGTGTCAGTCTTAGGCTTGGAAATGAAAATGTGAAATAAGAAAAAGGGCTGAAGGCAAACAGATTGATACAGATCAGAGACTAGCTCAATCAGGCACTTGTGAAACATTTCAGGAGCAGTGATAGTAGCATTTAGAAAAACAGAACAACCCAACTTGTGGCATTTAACCACTGTCTCCACTGAAATTCTTTTACTGGTAAGCAGTGCTTTTTGACAAAGCTCTTTGGCTCCTGGGTAGTAGTTATTAACAGTCAACAGCAAGGTACAAACCACACTGGGTCTCCTCAAGGAACTGTGACAGGTACCAGGTGGGTCAGGATCCAAGTCCTGAGAATAGATGATGATTTAATACTTTTAGCTATGGGGAAGGGAAAGGCTGTCTGCTGAGAAATTGATGGAGATTCATTCACAGTCCCTGTAGGGAAACTGCACTGGCCCAGGATTGAAGTAGTAAGGATTCACCTTGGACTGCATTTCTTAAAAACTGCTGCACAGAATCTCACCTTTTTTTTTCTTTTTTTTTAAATCATATACTTAAACATGCTGTTAGTTTGCTTTGACCCACAATGCAGATAATCCAAACACGGCAGCAGAGAGAAACTGGCTCATTTTGTATCCACTGCTAGAGCACACAGCCTAATTTTAGTATGTTTTAACTATGCAAAGGCCTAACCAAATAACATATGCTGCTAGTGGTGTGTTTTCAGCTGGAGTGTTGCCTAAGAACCATATTGCTGTGAGCTTACTGCTGTGTTGGTGTTTGTTCTGGTTGGGAGCATGTACAGTCAAGCCTGTACTTCTCTGTTTCAAAGGCATAGTAGTCTGCACAGGACAGCAACACATTCTTTTATATCTTGCCTTCCGAACAGAAAAGGTAGTTGTCAGCACTTCTGACAAGTGATATTTGGCATAGGTGTCTGCTCTTATGTTCCATGGGATTGTTTTATCCAAATTCAGGAATTTTCTGCTGTGAGTTTGGCAGCATGCAGAACCAACAAGCAGCCAATGGTTAACTTGCTTCTTGGAATTGCTTTTCAAAATTTGCCTTATGGTTGGACAAAATCTAAGATGATGTTAATGCATCCATTTGAATGGCAGTAGTCATAATTACATTGTTACCACCATCAAATTTAAATGAGATCCTTCAAGTATATAAAGGTACGAAAAGATGCATCTATTGTAAGAGTTTTAAGGCATTAATCAAATGCACTGCTCTGTCTATATAACCTCTTAATCTTTTAACTTGATTTTTCCAAAGGACTTTCGAATACAAACGAATGGAATGGCTGGAGGAGAAGCACCTTCTTACTCAGCGCATGACAGAGAAAGAAGATAAATATGACCAAATGAAGAACAAGCTATGTCGAGCTGCTGTTGCTCAGAAAAAGGCAGGTTGACCCTTCATGAATGCTCTAGCTTATGAAAAGTTCAACTTTACTTTGGCCTGCTAAAATTGTTTTAATATTAAGAGTTTACTTGTAGTCTATTGTGTATAATAATAAAATACATCAGACTCTTCAAGATTAGCATAGAAATTGGTTGAAATGATACGCAAAAGAATATTGCAGCCAACAACTTTGTTATAATGCCATCAAGATGTTGTGACACTATTTTTTGTGTGCATGTGTGTGTAGGGTTTTTTAAAAGGTAGACTCCTTGAACAGCAAGGATGATATTTTGATACCAGACAAATGATGTTCTACTTTTTCTTGATGGACTATGAAAATTGTATCTCCTATGCTTACTTAAGGAAAAGCTGGTTAATTGTTTATAAAAGCTTGAGATTAATTGACTATTTTATACATTGGACATAAACAGGTTATGGAACCTGCCAGTGGCTTTTAAGGTTGCAAACACTTAAGGTCAACAAAAGGGAAAAAAGGAAGAGGATACATTGTTTTCGTCATGTTTATACTTATTTATGTGTGGTCATTTAGAGAATGGATTTTATAATTCTCAAATATAGTTACTGCTTGTTAGTACAGCTGGTCATTGACCGATGAATGACTGACAGCTATGGATCATTTCCCATCTCTTCTATTTCCCATAACAGGATTCAGAACTTTCAAACAGCCCAGCACCCCTTCTTAAGGGAGGAAAATCCTAAAAACAGTCACAGCTTGAAATGATGTACAGTGTAAATGTAATTTTTGCAGGACCTGTATCAATGTATCAAGGCATTACTTAACTGTTTGAAATATCTGTTTGGCAGAGAAAGACTCTCAATGATAATAAGCAAAGGAGGATGAGAGAGAAGCTAGAACTTTTAGAAGCCAAGATAGAAGAACTAGAAAAAGAAAATCAGGTGCTAAATAGGTAATAACCTCTGCTTTTGCTTTGCTTGAAAAATTATATATGCTCAAGGGCTGAGTTATAAAGTATTTCTGAAGATATATAACATTTGGTTTAGTAACTGGAATACAGCCTAATGGCATTTTAAGCACTAGAATTCTTAGAATGGAGTCCATTATGATGGGGTATCTGCAAGTTTGTAAGCCAGCTGCAGGACTTTCTCTTCAGAAGGAGAGGAAAATGATCTGATAGATGCAGTTACAGGAATTCCTGCAAAAGAAGGAAGTGAAAAAGACTTCAGAACTTCAAGAGAAACAGACCTAGCATCCTTGTTGAAATACAAACTCTTTTTTTTTTTCTCTCTTCGTTGATCACCTGTGGAGGGCTTGATTCAGTAATTAATGTAATGTGGCTCCTGTGGCTCACTACTGTGAATGCTATTAAAAGCTTAATTTATTCCATGTAAATTCTCATCTGTAATCTGCAGATAGCTGTAAAATTTGTAGGGGGACTTTTAGATAGACATTTGGGTAGAAGAATATACACAGATTTTCCACCTTCCAGTTCTGGTGTGTAATTTTGCTTCATAGGATAGGGAAAAGCCAGAGTGCTTGTGGAGAGGTGTGTTGCTCTGTTGGGCTAATAAAGATTTTGAACACTAAGAAAGCTCTTCTTCCCTAGGCAGAATTTTTCCTCTGAAGACTATGCACGCCTCCAGAAGAGACTAAAGGACTTGCAACGTAGGCACAATGAATTCCGGAGTCTAATTCTGAATCCAGTTGGTACAATGTTGTCGTCTGCCTTGCCTCCTGGGCCTGAAGTGTCCTTCTCTCTTTTTCAGGTGGGGATGTATTAAAGCTGTGAAAATAATACAACAAGAGAGGGTATTTGAACAGTCCTTTATTTCAGATCTTTGCCTTTAGGAAGGAAAATTGATCTTTGAACAGAGGAAGAAACTTTGAGGATCACTTCTAGCGACGTTCCCTTCCTCACAGTAGGAGGGACTTTTTTAAAGATGAATGTTATGTCACAGAATGTAAGAGACAGGCAGTTTTAACCTGGTTCTCCATACCTGGTTCTGCTCCTGAGAGGTTTCAAATGGATGCTCCTCAGCAAGAAATACCACAATGGTGTTCTCACACCACAGTTTCATTCTTAAAAAGCAACATTGCTGCTCTTGACATGTTGTGTGGTTAAAAAAGTTTTACTTAAGAGCTTCTGAGGGTGCAGACTGGGGCTGAGGCTGACCAGGCTGATTGTACAGACTTTTGGTAACTGAGACCTCAGGTCTGTGTCCTGTTCCTCTGAGAGAAGGAAGTCCTGCATACCCATTTCTGGCTGATGCTATTCATCATGAATATCAGAAAGATGCCCACAAAACATTGAATTTAACAAATAAGGATATTTTGGACTTCAAAATTTTTATTTCAAAATCATTAATTAAAGAAAATTATTGCTCATTTTGGTCCCTTGTAAGTATGCAAAATGTAGTAGAGCTACTTTGTTGTTGTTAATTTCAAGGAGGAACAGCATCAAAGGGAGCTTTCCCTGCTTCGCAAGCGGTTGGAAGAACTAGAAACCACACAGAGAAAACAGCTGCAAGATCTTGGACCATCCAGAGAGCGAGTACTGGTGGGTGCACACAGGAACTTGGCTACAAACAAGGTCACTGGAGAAGGCGATGACCAGAGTGAGGACTATAAATAAAAGCAGCAAACTCTGTGCTGTTAGTGGTCAGTAGCTTATCCTTTGTACACATTAGTAAGAGTTTAAACTAGATGACTGCAAAGTAATGCTCTGTAAGCTCGTGTTAAAAAATACACTGTTTGCCATACCAGTTTGATTGTAAACATGGGAACATATGTTTGCTTTCATTTCAGAGACTGCTGTTAGAACTGTTAGGTTGCCATAACACAACTTTACTCGGAGGTCATTCTTTTGTCTGTGTAACGGTTAGAGCGAGGTGTGGATATGGAAGGTGTGCCAATGTCTTGTGTGCTGACCCAAACCTACTAAAAAGACCCACAATCTCTTCATTATGCTTCACATCACTTGATGAGATCCACTTGATGGGTTACAAAGTCCCAGCATGACTTTAAATGGTTTACTAACAGTGACGCTGTCGAGGAGGCTTCAATAAAACGCAGTAATTGTATTCCAGGCTGTAGGCTAAAGCTACACGGCCTGCTTCAACACATACTTAATCTCTAGAAATCGTTAAAGCTGTTGTAGCAAACAAGATGAATGATTACAGTAAGTGTTGATGCTGTGTTGCTGGGCATGAAAGAGAGCAAAGTCTGCTTGCTGGGAGACCCAGACAACCGCATTCAGTCAGCTGATTGGAGTTAGCCCAGCTAGAGCCGCAGCCGGCACGCTACAGCGACCGCGAGCTTCTACCGAGATTAGGTAAATCAGAGGGGATAGCGCAGAGGCATCACGATTCCCGACATTTCCTGATGTTTCCTGATTCCCGAAGTCCCAGCAGCCCTTGCGAGAGAGCGGCTGACGTGGCGGGGGACGTTCCCACGGTGACGGCGACCACTCCCCTGCCCCTTGACTTGAAAGAGCCTTTGAGAGGGCAGCGACACGTCGCTGGTGCAGGTGCAGGGAAGAACAGATAGATCGTTTTGCTGACCAATATGGTTGTCTCCAGAAAGGGAGCTAACAGTAAGAGGACTGTAGCAACTCAGACAGAGACCCCGGCCCTAACCGTGGCTGTTCAGGTCTCTGGATGCAGGGAGTGCCAGAGCCTGCTACTGCCGGGGGAGGGAGGACAGCATTCCACCTGTGTGAGGTGTGAGCAGGTGGAAGATCTGCTTAGCTTGGTGGCTGAACTGGAGGAGGAGGTTGAGACGCTGAGGAGCATCAGGGAGTGTGAAAGGGAGATCGACTGGTGGAGTAACTCCCTGGCTGGCCAGTTGGAATGGCTCCAGGGAGATACCCCCCAAAAGGGGATGCACCCCCTGCCCTCTCAGACAGAGGGGGATGGCCTGAGACAGCCCCTGTCATGTAGCTGTCGCCCAGAGGTAGGGGACCAAAAAGATGATGAGGGTTGGAAGCGAGTTCCGGTTCGGCGTCGTGGGCAGCCCTCCTCCCTTCCTGCCCCGCTTCCCCAGGTGACCCTCCGTAATAGGTTTGAGGCCCTGGATCTTGAAGGAGAGGTAGGTGAGGATGTGGTGCAAGGCCCACCTACAAGGCCACATAGGAAAAAGCGGTCGACTTCACACCTCAAGACTGCCTCTGGTAAGAAAGAAAGAAGGGTCATTTTAGTAGGTGATTCCATTCTGAAAGGAACAGAGGGCCTGATATGCAGAGTTGACCCTCATCATAGGGAAGTGTGTAGTCTGCCTGGAGCCCGGATCAGGGATATCACCAGAGCGCTCCCCAACCTGGTGCGCCCGACAGACTACTACCCGCTGCTGGTCTTCCAGACAGCTGAGGGGGAAGCTGCTTCCCGCAGTCTGAGGGGGATGAAGAAAGACTACAGGGCCTTGGGGCTGATGGTGAAAGATTCTGGGGCTCAAGTGATCTCTTCACTCCTTCCATCTTCCATTGATGATGTGGGACTGAATGGGAAAATTCAGTCCATAAACGATTGGCTTCAAGGCTGGTGCTTCAGGCAGGGCTTTGGATTCTTTGATAACAGCTGGTTTTATAGGGCACCAGTCTGGCCAATGGCATGTGGGAAAGGTTTATCGCACAGAGGCAGAAGGATGCTGGGGCACGAATTAGCAGGGCTCATTTAGAGAGCCTTAAACTAGATTCGAAGGGGGATGGGGTTGTAGCTGGGTTTGCCTCAGTGGGACAGTGCTCCGGAATTGATGAAGACTGGGAGGCCTCCTGTAATCCTACGGTGAAGTCGGTGTGCTCAGCTCGCTCCCTGAAATGTCTGTACGCCAATGCGCACAGCATGGGAAATAAGCAGGAGGAGCTAGAAACCTGTGTTAAGTCAGGAGATTGTGACCTGGTGGCAATTACAGAGACGTGGTGGGACAGCTCACATGACTGGAATATAGTCATGGAGGGCTATGTCCTTTTCAGGAAAGACAGGCCAGCCAGGTGGGGTGGTGGGGTTGCTCTTTATGTGCGAGAGCAGCTACAATGCGTTGAGTTCTGTCCAGGGACAGATGATGAGCGAGTCGAGAGTCTGTGGGTGAGAATTAAGGGGCAGGCTGGCAGGGGCGATACTGTTGTGGGGGTCTGTTACAGGCCACCGGATCAGGGTGAGGAAGTTGACGAGGCCTTCTACAGGCAGCTGAGAGCGGCCTCACAGTCACAGGCTGTGGTCGTCGTGGGGGATTTTAACTTCCCTGATGTTTGCTGGAAGGACTACTCGGCAACCCAGCCGCAGTCCAGGAGGTTCCTCCAGTGTATGGATGATAACTTCCTCATGCAAATGGTGGATGAGCCAACCAGGAGAGGTGTGCTGCTCGATCTCATCCTCACTAACAAGGAGGGTCTGGTTGAAGGAGTGAAGGTTGAGGGCTGCCTTGGTTGCAGCGACCACGAGATGGTGGAATTCAGGATCTTGTGTGGTAGGGCCAGTAGAATAGCAAGTAGAATTGCAACCCTGGACTTTAGCAGGGCAAACTTTGGCCTCTTCAAGCAATTGCTAGGGGAAATCCCATGGGCTAGGCTGCTTGAAGGGAAAGGGGCCCAAGATAGTTGGTTGACGTTCAAGGACTGCTTTTTCCGAGCTCAAGATCAGAGCATCCCGACACGTAGGAAGTCAAGGAAGAGGGTCAGGAGACCTGCGTGGCTAAATAGGGAATTGCTGGGTATGCTGAAGTGGAAGAGAAGAGTTTACAGGTCATGGAAGGAAGGGCTGGCCACTTGGGAAGAATATAAGGCTGCTGCTAGAGGATGTAGGAAAGCAGCTAGGATGACTAAGGCCTCCTTGGAATTAAAGCTGGCAAGAAGGGTCAAGGACAGCAGAAAGAGCTTTTTCAAATACATGGCAGATAAAACTAACACCAGAGGCAATGTAGGCCCGCTGATGAACGGGACGGGTGCCCTGGTGACAGAAGATACAGAGATGGCAGAGTTACTGAATGCCTTCTTTGTCTCTGTCTACTCTGCTGGAGGCAGTCCTGAAGAGCCCTGTACCGCTGAGACCTCGGATGAAGACAGGTCAACGGAGCGGTCTGCCTTAGTTGATGAGGAATGGGTTAGAGACCAGTTGAGCAATCTGGATATCCATAAATCCATGGGTCCAGATGGGATGCGCCCACGGGTGCTGAGGGAACTGGCTGAGGTCATTGCTAGACCACTCTCCATCATCTTTACCAAGTCTTGGGAAACGGGAGAGGTGCCTGAGGACTGGAGGAAAGCAAATGTCACTCCCGTCTTCAAAAAGGGCAAGAAGGAGGACCCGGGTAACTATAGACCAGTCAGCCTCACCTCCATTCCTGGGAAAGTGATGGAACACCTTATCCTTGGTGCCATCTTAAGGCATATCAAGGATAAGAGGGTTATGAGGGGCAGTCAACATGGCTTCACCAAGGGGAAGTCATGCTTGACCAATCTCGTAGCCTTTTATGAGGAAATAACATGGTGGATGGATGATGGCAGAGCGGTGGATGTGGTCTACCTTGACTTCAGCAAAGCGTTTGACACAGTCTCCCACAGCATCCTCGCAGCCAAATTGAGGAAGTGTGGTCCGGATGATCGGGTAGTGAGGTGGACTGTGAACTGGCTGAAGGAGAGAAGCCAGAGAGTTGTAGTCTATGGGGCGGAGTCTAGTTGGAGGCCTGTATCTAGTGGAGTGCCTCAAGGGTCGGTACTGGGACCAGTATTATTTAATATATTCATCAATGATTTAGATGAGGGAACTGAGTGTACTATCAGCAAGTTTGTTGATGACACTAAGCTGGGAGGAGTGGCTGACATGCCAGAAGGCTGTGCTGCCATCCAGCGAGACCTGGACAGGCTGGAGAGTTGCGCGGGGAGTAACTTGATGAAATATAACAAGGGAAAGTGTAGAGTCCTGCATCTGGGCAGGAACAACCCCAGGTTCCAGTATAGGTTGGGGAACGACCTGTTAGAGAGCAGTGTAGGGGAGAGGGACCTGGGGGTCCTGGTGGATGACAGGGTGACCATGAGCCGACACTGTGCCCTTGTGGCCAAGAAGGCCAATGGCATCCTGGGGTGTATTAGAAGGGGGGTGGTTAGTAGGTCAAGAGAGGCTCTCCTTCCCCTCTACTCTGCCCTGGTGAGACCTCATCTGGAATATTGTGTCCAGTTCTGGGCCCCTCAGTTTAAGAAGGACAGGGACCTGCTGGAGAGAGTCCAGCGCAGGGCAACTAAGATGATTAAGGGAGTGGAGCATCTCCCTTATGAGGAAAGACTGAGGGAGCTGGGTCTGTATAGTTTGGAGAAGAGGAGATCGAGGGGTGACCTTATTAGTGCATATAAATATATAAAGGGGGAGTGTCACGAGGATGGAGCCAGGCTCTTCTCAGTGGCAAACAATGATAGGACAAGGGGCAATGGGTGCAAACTAGAACAGATCCACTTAAACTTGAGAAGAAACTTCTTCTCAGTGAGGGTGACGGAACACTGGAACAGGCTGCCCAGGGAGGTTGTGGAGTCTCCTTCTCTGGAGACATTCAAAACCCGCCTGGACACGTTCCTGTGTAACCTTATCTAGGTGTTCCTGCTCTGGCAGGGGGATTGGACTAGATGATCTTTTGAGGTCCCTTCCAATCTCTAACATACTGTGATACTGTGATACTGGA